CCACAAGCCCTGAGACACCAGGACCAAGCAACGCGCATCATGAGCATCAGCTGCCCGAGCCCTCAAGCAGAAAGACCAGGCAACGCACATCATGAGCATCAGCTGCCCGAACACGACCAGGCAACACACATCATGAGCAGCAGCTGGCAATTTCCCTCAGAAAATTCTTTTGGGGTTGGTGGGTCCAGGTTCAGGGTTTCAAGGACTAGAGCTCGGCTCTGTCTCAGAGGGGGTCTGGAGGCGTCTAGGATTTTTTCAGCGGCTGAGGTAGGAGTTCACGAGCTCAGGGGGGGGTTGTTACTGTTTGGTCGGGTTCACGGTCTAGGGTCCAGGGCAGGTTCGCCGTGGTTTTGTTGCTATAGGTGGTTTAGGAGTCTCAGGTTGTGCTGGTGCTTGCCCTGAACCCCCTCAGTCTAAACCTTAAACCTCAAACACTAAACCACTCCACCTCAAAACTTAAACTCTGAACCCCGAATCCCTGGCTTTGGAGCTTTCTTGCTTCGTGTGCTCCACGCCTCGACAGCTCGCCGGCGCAAGTAGACGTCCTGGCCGCCACGGGAGCCCAAACTCTCGACCACGAACTAGGCCTGTTAAGGGAGGCCCACCGATTTAAATTTGTTGTTTGGTTTTTGCTCAAGGCACATACACTGGAAAACACATTATGTTCAAGAGCGGTCTCTGTTTAGGATTGGAAGGTTCAACATTTCAAGTGCTCTTGGAGCTGCAGTGTATGAGGAACCCCAAAACCAAAACTCTGCTGAACTCTGGTCCTGGTGCGCGGGAAGTCTTACACAAGCATTGACCAGGTCGAGAAACAAAGTGCCCCCACTTGCGACCCAGCAAGTAAACTCCTAAACTGCAAAAAGCTTTTCCATGAAATCTTCAGCCTTACAAGCCGAACCCCAAAATCTGTTAGTCCTGATCGCCCGAACCTTCAAATCTCCTACAACTGCAACATCCCATCTGTGGATTGTTCCAAATGCTGCTCACACTAAGTAGCGAAGAAATCACTTTTTCGAGTGCCCTCAATGGCCAAGGCCCGGATAAGGCATCTTGACCTGGAGCCATCTCCGGAGATGCAGTGAAAACCCGTGAAACTACATGGAACTGGCGACCCATACTGCGACTCCTCTCCCGGGCGGAGGAGAATGGCAGCAAGGGCCTGCAAGGGGTGGGGTTTGACTTCTGCGCTTCCCTTTCGGGTCTACCATTTAGGGCCTTGGCTCGGGCTAGGGCTTAGGCTTCGGGCATAGGGTGCAGCACTTGGTTTTTACAAGGCTCCCCTTAGGGCTTAGTGCAGTTTTCGAGTCGCAAGGCTTGCGGTTTGGAGCTTCGAAGTTCGGCCTGAGGCCTGCGGGGCAAGAGCAGGCGGACGAGATTCCGTGCTATGTCGAGGGGAAGTGGTAACTTACAGCTCCTGTCTCCAGTATTCTACAGTATCGAACCTAATCAGTACGGTGGAGAATGCTGCATCCCAAGGTGTGGTTGTAAGCCGTTGAAGCAAAGGCCCCCGCCGTCCTCTCTCAGGCTTCAGGGTTTAGGGTCGAGGGTTCAGGGTTACTGGCACAATACTGACTATCTTATCGTGGATCGCACCTACCCATCTCACACCGACTCCCGCAGTCTGCAGCTTTGAAGGCCTATAGAGTAGCCCCTTCTTGGTGAAGTGGTTTTATGAAACAGCTCTCAGTTTAGCCCTAGCAGGGCCTCTTTCCGACTGTCTGAGTCGACTTCCTCAATCCCCAAAAAGGCAAGAACGGCCCTCCTGGAAACCATGAAAAAAACCTTCAAATTTCTCTTAAATCTCACGAAAAAACCTTCTTCAATGACCTCCGACCACCCGATGAATGCTGTCCTTCGGAGGAAAACTTTTGGATTACATCGGGAGTTGGCTAGCCCAAGCAAGCCAAAGGCTACTGCCTCCACCTCCAAACCTTACTCAACCATGAAAATTCTCTTACACTCTGAAAAAGCTCATGACAACCTCTATTTACACAAATTGTCAAAGCCCTTGAACAAATCCCCCGGTCACAAGCTCTCCGCGCCTCGATGCCCTCGGGCTGTGAGAAATCGCCTAGGGCACCCAGCACCCAGGCAGCCTTGGTGGGGCTTTGGATTTAGGAACAAATGAATGATGCCAGGGTTTAGGGTTCAGGGTTTCCAGCTTTAGGGGCAAATAAGATTTCAAAGTTATTTTGGGGTTCGGGGCAGCTGGTTTGGGATTTATGGGTTGGAGTTATGGGCTTGGGGATCTCACAGTTCGGCTTCGAGCCTGCGGCTCCGTAGGAGTTAGGGTCTCCGGGTGTTTAGGCTTCAGGTTCGGGTCTGGAGTCGTTGGGTTTCGGGCTTGGGTACGGGCTTGGGGTTCAGGGTTTCAAGCTTTGGGAGAGAATGGTTTAAAGATTAGGATTTCAGTGATTACTGGGCTCGCATGGTCTAAAGTTCTCGGCTGTGAGGCCTGCGAAGATCCGATTTCACCTGGCTTTGCAAGATGTTGCAGCTGCACCACCCCGCTGTCTGCCAAGCAAATCCTGTGCAACCTTTAAGCACGGTGCTTTCTGCCCTTTTGCAAAGTAGATTTTCATTTGGGATGCATGCGACCTCCACTACTGTGATTTACACAAGGAAACCTTCCCATCTACCACCGCCATAAGAGAAAGCACAAACACGCGCAATCAAAGCATCTGGGAACCCATATCAGCTCGCCATATGGTAAGAATGAGAATGCTCTAACACTTTTCGCCCGACTTGGGCCTAACAAGGCATCGTACCACTGCTGGTGGAAAATGGGCGCGACAACGCACGTATTTCTAAGCACCCATAGCAGCTCGCCAGCTGGTCAAAGGACCTTTGCTTGCAAGGGAATAAGAATGCACCAACACTCTTCGCCCGACTTGGGACCTAACAGGGCATGGCACCACTGCTGGTGGAAAATGGGCGCGACAACGCACGTATTCCTAAGCACCCAGAGCAGCTCGCCAGCTGGTCAAAGGACCTTTGCTTGCAAGGGAATAAGAATGCTCCAACACTCTTCGCCCGACTTGGGACCTAACAGAGCATGGCACCACTGCTGGTGGAAAAT